TATACCCATTACTTCGAATGTCATAATGTTTGTTGAATGAAACCTAAATACGCTTATTTTCCTTTGGTTCTAAGAATAACTCAAGTCTAACTGAACAAATTTATGCCAAAAGAAGTTACTGACTAGGTTAATAAAGCTTGCTTTCTCTGATATCTCCCTCATTTTCCTTACTGTAGGGCTTGTGATTTAACAGATATATTTATATCAAGAAAGTACTGGTTAATACAAGAAATATGAATGACCTTCCATACCAACTTCCTGAAAATAACTGTTTGCTTTGTTTCTGTACATCTCATTCAGAACACTCTGCAGTACTGGTACAAGGAATTTCTTTTTAAAATTCGTATCCTTAAGCTTTAAAGATGACACTTAAAAAATAAAGATTTACATGTCATTCTGTAATATGAAAGATGCTCTTGGCATCCTGTTCTTACACAGACTGCAGCTTTGGTAAATAAGCCAGGTTAAAAGTGTACTATTTATGTTGGAATTGCACATTTGGTGCTTGTTGCTGTTGTTATGTGCCGTGGAGTCGGATCTGACTCATAGTGACCCCTGCCTTAGGTTTCTGAGGCAGTATCACTATGGAAGTAGATTGCCCAACCTTCCTTCCAAGGAGTGGCTGGTGGTTTTGAACTGCCAGCCTCCTGGTTAGCAGTCAAGTGCCTTAGGCACTAAAAGAAACTATAAACACAAAAGTTTTCATTTATGAATTTAAAACTTTAGCTGAAGTTCTTGGTTTAGAAAAATGTTGTACCTTCCTTAGTTATTTTGTCTCTACTACAATTCAGTGTTCTATAAACATGATACAATTTAGAAGGAAAGGGATAAACGTTTTGGTACCATGAGTTAAGCACAAGGTTCTTTTACATCCTCTTTCCTGCCTTTGGAAATTTGCACTGACTCTTCCACACATCAGAAATGTATATATTTTTTAAGGAGGGCAGATGGGAGACAGAGAAAGAGAATACCTTACAAATGTGAGAACTCACATTTCTGTCAAAACATAAATATGTATGAGTGTTATTTTGAAAATGTGCCATAAAGTCTTTGCTTGCTATCAACTATTATTGTTCTTATGAACAGCCATCTGAATCAGAAACTGATGTTTTTTTTTGTGACTAAAGCTACTGATCAGTCAGCATATTTCAAAAGTTATTAAATACCACAGAAACTCTGATTATAGACCCTAGAATCAAGTAATAAAGTACTGGGACATTTTTTGTTGCTAGAAAATCTAGCATTGTATTAGGAATGATGAACCATATGCCTCTGTTCCTTCTAAGAACACATTTAACCTATTTTTCTTGTGCTTTCTCTACTCCCTGCTATTTGATAAAGTATTGAGGCATTAATGATTTTCAGAATTGCTTAGAAATGCAAGTACAAACTTAATTTTCATCTATTTAATTATACTTAGATATAATTTTAAAATGGAACACAGTATGTTTGCCCACATTCCAGTTTTAATGTGCCACGTCCTCAAGGCTAGAATTGAATCAAGTGATATGAGCCTTAGATATCTTTCAACTCTCCCCTTTGCTTCTCTGAGATTTTATAACTTTAAGATACCAAAGTAAAAGACAAATAAGAAACAGAGCTTTGTATTTCTGCAAACTACAACACTAAAACACAGTGGCTTCTTTAATACATTCACACAGGATGCTTATTAGTAAAATTAAATATTTGCCTATGAGTATCAGAAGAGTAATTTGAAAAGAAAAGTTTGCAACAAGGCAAATGGGAGGGGGGAAAAAGCTGGTCTCAGAACCCATTGTGCCATACCTGACTTTAACATGTGATATTCAGACGTTCACACGCCTTACATCAAAATAAATGAAACAAAAATATTCAGCTACATTGTACAAAATTTTTTTTTACATAAAACACCATAAATCTGGAACAGATTTATTTTATCTGAATTCTAAAAAGTTGCCTATTGAATGGTGCTGGGATTCTGCTCTCTGCTTGCTTTTAGGCAGTGCTGTTGCTTAAAAGTTGATACCAGGCACAATATTTTAAAAACAAAGTCAACAAGCAAGGAGCAGTAAGTGAATCTGAGCCTTTCCCAGATGTCAGTCCTGAGGATGCTGCAATATTCTCCATCAAAATATGTAAAGCTATGAGGCGGATACTGATGCCTGAGAGAGTGGGTGACTTGACATGCACTTGTATGAGAGTTACAATGGCAAACAGTGCAGTTTTCTCTTCCTCAAACAACACTGTTTGTTATAAATTTAAAGAACACTCCAGTTCTTAGACAAGTATCAGAAATCATATTTAACAATTAAGAAAATATATATCACAATCTAAAAATGCCCAAATTTTCTTTTATCTTTAGATAAAATAATACAGCAGCCCCATGGCAAAAAGCTTTATAACTTATTCTGAGAACTATAAAGTAAATGAGCATACATTTTACTTTCACTGAATATATATCATATGTCATTCACCTCTTCCTTTTGGCTTCTCACTGCCAAAGTTCCAAATGGCATGCATTTAACAAGACAATACTGAGGAGAGCAGCATTTCTGATCATCTGAATTGGCAGCTCAAAACAGATACCACTCCTTTTACAAAGTGAACAAAGAGTGATGGGTGTGTGAAATTTGGGCAGGGGCTAAGGGAAACCGTGCGCATGAAATCTGGGTCACCATGCCCCAAGTGTGTGCGCCACCCATAACATAATACAATTACCTACTTCAACAGAGCTGCTAACAACATTTACTAAAACCACATTAAAAATACACAGGATAATGAATGGTTTGAAAGAGTGCATTTGGAAGCAGAGAGAACCCAATTACACACCTTCTGCAACAGAGTGCCTTGATCATACACAAAATAAACTTAAGCTGTTTACAATGTTTCCCAATTTTTTTTTATTTTTTTCCCTCTACATTTAATTATTAAAAAAGTTTTATTAATAAATGGGCTCCTCTGTGGTTCATATACAATCATAGGTGAACTTTAAATTCCATTTTATACAAACATCTCAAAAAATATTGGGAGTGAAGTATGGTAGGAAATATTGCTCACATTGCTAATTAACATGCGTATTATGAAAGGAGGAAAATGTTTTGTTAGTGCATATACCTCCAGAGCAGAAAACCCACCCAAAATGAAAGATTTTAAAATAAAAACATACAGTAGCTGATTACAAAAAAAGGTAATGTCCACAAAATTAAGTTTTTCATGCTATTCTACTTTCCAGTACTATGCTTCAGGTAATCAATTCACATGGCTAGATGTTCAATGCTTGAGGTATATAAGAAGGGATACCTGCACACTGAGGAAAATTTGTCATCTTAAGGTTGTTTCTTTTTGTTTATTTTGTTACTTAACATTTTTAAAAGAATATTTTATTTACATCAAACTTCATTCAATTACAATGACATTCCAATTATAATAGATGACAAACAACGCCTCTACCACTAGGCACTTTTAAAAAGGGAGTTTATTTATGCTTTAAACTTCTTTACCCTTCCGATGCAATCCCATATATGATATTACATCATCCCACCACCCTAGTCCCACTAAAATTATCATCTGGGGAAATACTATCTTATATAGCCTGATTAATTTATTATGGAAGCAATTACTTATAAAATGACCAAAGAAAATGCATCTTTTAAGTTTAATAAAACAGCTTGAAGATGTCAGGTTTGAAAGAGGAGACAAATTGTATATTTAAAACTAATTAAATAATTAAAATTTGACCTGTACTTTATATATTAGTGAGACACAAATATAGGCTATTTTCTTTTGAAATTTCATTCATATAATGAAAAACTTCTTGTTTATTAAAAATATCACATTTTGAGACTAGAAACAGTAAAGTGCATGAAAAGTTTAAAATATAAATTTCATAAAACTCTTATAGCAGCAAAAAAGCAGAATAAAGAAAAACTTAAAAACACAGACACAACCTTTTCCTGTTACTGTGCCATAACTAACATCAAGCAGCCAACCAATTTTTCCCCCAGAAAACGATATTGCATTCACTTCCTCTTGAAGTCACAGATTTTCAAATGGCCCCTTCTGGGCGAAAAGGATTCCAATATATCTACAGCATCTACAGTGGGAATAAACCAGTAGCTTCTTAATTCAACCCTGACAGACAACAAAAACAAAGATTAAAAGCGTATGATGACCATTTGGCAGCTAGAGTCAGGAAAAATGATCCAAGGCTTTCAACTCCCTTTTCTCTCTCTCCCTCTAATCTTTTCCACTGTCACTTTCAAAACCAAAACCCACAGTCACTTAACCTATCTGGAAACACATAAAATATTACATATATTCCTATGGCTTTCCCTTTCTAAAACTTTGATCAGGGTCTTATTATTCAGAGTACTTATTTTAACATTGTACTGCAACATAGTATCTGTTTTTCTAGCACAACTAGACAGAAAAGAAAGGTAGATAATTATCAATAAAAAATACTGAACACTAATTTTATGATAATCTTAAGCATACCAAATTCTATTTTCAAGATGGGTGGCAGTATAAATACCTGCTTTTTCCGCATAAATAAACTAATACTTCTAATAAAATTATAACCAAAAGGGGGCCAAAAACAACAGAGCAATTTCTAAAAAAATATAAAATAAACAAAAAGTATGTGCCCAACAAACTGACACATGCTGTTAAATGCTTGATTCTGAAACCATATTGTGCAAATCACCTTTAATTTCTCACTACTTCTTCTTATGGCTAGAAGCTATACCATGGTTTATGTATAGATCAAACAAATGTAAGTGCTTTGTTAATGTGCAAATAACTTGGGGATTCAAAAATAATTTTGTTATAAAGGAAAATAGAAATTCAAGAACATTTTCCCTGAAAGCCATGACATCACTGAGTTCAAAACCTTATATTTACAGCTTTAAAAAACTGTCTTTTACAAAAATGGTTAGCTCTAAAGGAAATATTTGTTTTAGAAACAAATACACTGTTGTTGGGCCTCTAATTGGTAATTTATCGATTATGAATGTGGACTCTCAAAAAATATTTAAATTAAAATTTTGAGTAGAATACTACTTTGGTTCCAACACTAGTGCCAAATGATACCAATATGCACAAAAATGTACAAAATCTTATAGCAAAGACATAATGAAAGGAACCTGAAGAAGCAGCTTAAGGATAGCCATACTTCACTCCTACATACTCTGATTTACAACTGTACAGGTCCATAGCAACAGATCCCCGTCTTTGCGGGGCAGTACTCCACTACCTCCGATTAGGCAAGTGAACACCATTGACAAGAGGCAGGAGTGGAGGGTGGAGTTCAAGTTGTGTTAACAGTGAGAAGTGGTCTGAAGGGATGTGAGGGTGTGGACACCCAGTGATGTTGTTCTCAACCAGCCATTGAGGATCTAAAGGCCCCAGGACACCAAGCACGTTCATATGAGTCTTGGAATAGAAAATGTAATCAATCACGCCCTAGAAAGAGATTAAGGGTTGGGAGAGAAAGAAAAATGTACACTTAGAAGAACAATTCAAGATACATAAAAAACAATCCATAATTTTAAAAAAACGCCAAATAACTGAGTAATTTGTACTTCCACTACCTGTTATTTTAACAATGGATCGAATAAGACTCAAGTCTTCAATGGGTATTACATAAACTAAAGGTGGTTCAACAGGGAAACACAGCACTCAAAGCCCTGCATTTGTGCGGAAGTGATAAACTGAGATGCTAAACATAGCAAATGATGTTCTTAAGTATTTATAGAACTGGCCTGCTTGTTTTACTGAAATCTGTTTATGAAAATTATACTTATTTAATCAGCTACAAAACTCGAAAAGTAAGGATATTTATATAAACATAAATAAACATGTTTTCATTAGCATATACATAGTTAATGGAAAGGTATGAGTCAAGTTAATTATTTTAATAATAACTGGGATTATTTCAATTATTTGTAGATCAAGATATCTGAACACATCTGAACAAAGCCATGGTAAAGTGTATTTGCTAATCTTAATTCAACTTTTCCAGATTTGCTATATACATACAGAACACTATATATAAAATTGTTCTAATATCTGCTCTTTAGTTTAGAATATTCATGAAGGAAGGTTAGGTAATCTACTTCTGTAGTGATACCACCTTGGAAACTCAGGCACAGGTCACTATGAATCAGATCCAACTCGACAGCAGTGACTGACTCTTGATGCATCATGGTGATTTCTATTCAATACTTCAAATATTCAAGAAATGATATGATCACAAGCTATTATCCCTTCATTTCAGCTAATGCCTGTTTTTGCAGTGACACTTTAGAAAAAAAGTTAATAAGGGTTAGGTGGTTTTACTTCCCCTTATGAGACTACTCTTTGCTTCAACAAAACACAAATGAAATCTTCTCAATTATTTATGTTGACTAAAACCTTGTATATATTTTCACTTATGACAGTGCCATCATGTATATCAGCTGTTGGAGTTATGAAATGCTTTGCAAATACAGACCCCAAGAAAGACGTTAAATACTCCCCAAATTAAGACATACTTACTGAAAGGCATCAATTGTAACTGCTTTCTTGGTTTGAAATGCCCACAGTAAGAGTTCTTATCAAATCCCTTACTGGCAAGGTCACATTTGTGAACTCTGTACATATGTATATGTGGGGAAGGAGCTCTGATGGTGCGTGCAGTTGTTAAAGCATTCACCTGCTTATCAAAATGTCAGTGATTTGAACCCACCAGCCACTCCCTGGGATAATGAGGCAGTCTTTTTCCATAAAAATATACAGCCCTGGAAACACTACAGGGAAGTTCTACTCTTACTAACTACTCTTATGCCAAACTCTGTTTTTTAAAGCATTATCAGAAAACTATATAATACAAATCTGATAATGTAATGTTGTCATCGTCGTCGTTGTTGTTATATGCCGTTGAGTAGTACCCAACTCATAGAGACCCCTCCTTGGGTTTCCAAGGTGGTATCACCATGGAAGTAGATTTCCCGACCTTCCTTCTGAGGAGTGGCTGGTGGGTTTGAACCACCAACCTTTTGGTTAGCAGTCAAGTGCTTTAGGCTGTATGCTAGGAAAGGGTAAGTATGTGACATATGGGAAAGCTGTCCTTCCTCATTTCATTAAATGATTCAAGCACAACTTTTTGGGGAAGAGAAGTGAGAAAGCAGCACCAGAAAGTTTGAAGTAATCTGTTTACTCAACTTACCTTGTCTGCAAGTAACACTGGGAAAGGAGTAATTCTCCCAACTCCTTACCCTTTAGTTCACTCCAATCAGTTCTAGATTATATGAATTTGAGTTCTAAGTATCACTTTTCTAAATTCCCAACTTATTCAAGGACCAATAAAATAACAACCAAACACTAAGTAAGTAAACACATCCTACTGATGCAGTGTCTCACATTACTGCATTTGGATCTGTATTTAATGGTCCATCAAATAATATTTTATATTTGCTATTCCCCATCCCTTTCTGATGTGACTCAAAATAAGAAGAAATAGCTGCAGACATCCATTAATAATCAGAACATGGAATATATGACGTATGAATAAAAAAAAATTAGAAGTGGTCAAATATGAAATGGAACACTTAAAGATCAATATCCTAGGCATTAGCTGAAATGGACTGGTATTAGCCATTTTGAATCAACTGTATGGTCTACTATGTGGGGAATGACAAACTGAAGAGGAATGGCATTGCACTCACTGTCAAAAAGAACATTTCAAGATGAATCATGAATTGCAAAGCTGTGAGAGGATATTATACACACACATAAAAAGAAGATCAATTAATACAACTATTATTCAAATTTATGCACAACTAAAGCCAAAGATAAAGAAATTGAAGATTTTTACAGATTTCTACAGTATGAAATTGATCAAACATGTAATCAAGATGCACTGATAATTACTAGCAATTGGAATGTGAAAACTGGAAACAAAGAAAGATCAGTAACTGGAAAATATGGCCATGGTGATAAAAACGTGGAATATCACATGAGAGAATTTTAAAAGACCAATCATTATTCATTGGAAATACCTATTTTCAACAATATAAATGGTGAATATATATGGAATACACAGGAAACAAATCAACCACATCTGTGGAAAGAGATGATGGAGAAGCGCAATATCATCAGTCAGAACAAGCTCAGGGGCTGACTGGAGCACAGACCAATTGCTCATATGCAAGTTCAAGTTGAAGCTGAAGAAAATTAAAACTAGTCTACAAGAGCCAAAGTACAACCTTAAGTATGTCCCACCTGAATTTGGAAAATTCTCTCAAGAACAGATTTGACAGACTGAACACTAGTAACCAAAGATGAGATGAGCTGTGGGATGACATTAAGGATATGATACATGAAAAAAGCAAAAGGTCATTAAAAATACAAGAAAAAAAAAGACTAGAATGGTTATCAGAATAGACTCTGAAACTTGCTCTTAAATAAAGAGCTAAAGCAAAGGAAGAAATGCTGAAGTAAAAGAGCTGAACAAAAGATTTCAAAGGATGGTTCACGAAGACAAAGTAAAGTATTATAATGACATGTGCAAAGACCTGGAGAAACCAAAAGGGAAGAATATGCTCAGCTTTTCTCAAGCTAAAAACTGAAGAAAAAATTCAAGCCCCAAATCACAATTTTGAAGGATTTTATGGGCAAAATACTGAACAATGCAGGAAGCCTCAAAGGAAGATGGAAGGAATACACACAGTCACTGTCCCAAAAAGACTGGGTAGATGTTCAACCATTTTAGGACGTAGCATATGATCAAAAAGTTTAGGTTGTGTGTCAACTTGGCTGGGCTTTTGTTCTGAGTGGCTTGGCAACTGGATGTAGTTATTCCCCATAATGAGATTGTAAGCACCTCCATGGTGCAATCTGCTGTGAGCAGCTAAGTGGTTGAAGGGGAGCTGCCTGTTTCCAGCAGGGAAAGGTATCCAGCTTTTTGGCACATTTTGGGCTGTGTTGCCTGTCAATCTTGGGACTGTTCCTGGATTTGAATCGGTGGTCTGACGTGTTGCCTGCTGATCTTGGGATTGTTCCATTTTACCTGCCAATATTGGGTTTACCAGTTTCAGCAGCCAGCAGCTGCGTGAGATAGAAGCCTCTAGCTCCAGTGGGTCTGGAACAAGAGGCAGAGCTGAAGCACAAGGCTGAGGGACCTTAATTGAGACCCTAGAGAGATGCCCCTCTGAAATCAGACTTCTAGTCTCCTAAACTGTAAAAACATAAATTTTCTGTTAAAGCTATCTACTTGTGATATTTCTGTTATAGCAGCACTAGAAACAAAGACAGTACTGAAGGAAGAACTCCATGCTGCACTGAAGTAATTGGCAAAAAACAAGGTTCTAGGAATTATGAAATACTAATTGAGATGTCTGAATGAACATATGTAATGCTGGAAGCACTCACTTCTCTATGCCAAGAAATCTGGAAGACAGCTACCTAGCCAACTGACTGGAAGAAGTATATATTCGTGTCCGTTCCAAAGAAAGGTGATCCAACAGAATGCAGGAAGTATAGAACAATACCATTAATGTCACAAGCAAGCAAAATTTTAATGAATATAATTAAAAAATGGTGGTACCAGTACATTGACTAGAAACCGCCAGAAGTCCAAGCCAGATTCAGAAAGGGATGTGAAACAAGGGATATCATGGCTGATGTCAGATGGACTGTGGCTGAAAAGCAAGTAATACCAAAAAGACGTTTACCTGTGTTTTTTTTTTTTTTTTTTTTGAAATATATAAAGGCATTAAACTGTGTGGATCATATTAAATTATGGATAACATTATGAAGAATGGGAATTCCAGAACACTTAATTGTGCTCATGGAGAACCTGTACATAGACCAAGACAGGTGTTCAAAAAGAACAAGGGAATATTGCATGGCTTAAAATCAGGAAAGCTCAGGACATTTATGTCAACTGGTACAATATAGCTCATAAAGACAATGTCCTCCATCCTACTTTGGTGAGCACCATCTGAGGTCTTAAAAGCTTGTGAGTAGCCATCTAAGATACACTTACTGCTTTCTTCCTGTTTAGAGCAAAAAAGTATGAAGAAAACCAAAGTTTCACCGAAGCAATTACTCCCAAGAACTAATGGACTACATGAACCACAGTCTACATAACCCCAAGACCAGAAAAACTAGATGGTGCTCTGCTACCACTACCAACTGTTCTGCTTGGAATAACAAAAAAGGGCCCCAGACAGTGAGGGAGAAAAGTATAAAACAGAAAATCAAAATCACAAAAAATGATCAGACTTACTGGTCTGACAGAGACTGGAGAAACCCCAGAGACTATGGCTCTAACAACCTTCTGACTTGGAGTTGAAGCCTTTCCTGGAAACCACCTTTCAGCCAAACAGTAGGTCCATAAATTAAACAGTAACACCTGAGAATACATTCCTTAGAACAATCAATTACACGATATCAAAAGAACAACACTTTCCCAAAAGCAA